CCTTGCACCCTTGTTGCACTCCGCAACGTTACAACGACTCTGGTACCATGACAGCACGGTTTATAAGGGGTAACATTCACCAGGTTATTTCCTGTAACACGGCAAAATATGCCTGGAGCATTAATCTTCTGCCAGCATCGTAAGGTTATGCTGACCGTCTGGTCTCAGACGACCTTTATGCCAGGGCATACGTTTTAGACAAAATCCGACGATTATGCCAGAAACTATGCCAGAATGATCCACCAAGGGCTAAGCGTATCTTTCTGCCCTAACCGTACTGGTAATAAAGTCATTGTGGTAGAGGACCTGTGTACTGACAGATGCTGACAGGACTCTTGGTATGAAGCCCTGGGGGTTGTTTCGCCTCAAGACATCACACTATCAGAGATCCATGACTGTGTTGCGCGAAATCTTCCAGGATCCATACAGGTACTTCAGTACATACATATTATTTGTATAAACCAATACTAGTTCAATACTAGTACAGTGTATTAGGTAAACCCAGTGTCCTCCACCTTGTTTCATGCTGTCAAACTAACAACAGGTACGTACATGTACTGTACTGGGCATGATCTTCACTGCAGCTACACTCTAGTCTCTAGCTTGTAAGTCTTTGTCTGAAGACAAATATTTACAATGATATGCAGCACCAACTCTGCCCTGTTGAGTGTTGAGGATTGAGTACTCTGTGAATAGAGGACTAGCCCTACTACAGTAAGATCGGGCGCCGAAGAACACCTCGCCGAAGAACACCCAGGCTGGAAAACCGGCAAAATTTAAGAACAGTCCAGGCTAGAATTATCAGATTTAAGAACACTAGATCTACATTGTACGTAGATCTACATTGTACATGTATAATAATAATAATAATCTTTATTAAAGGATCTCCCAGAGGCGATGGCCTGTCGAGGGGATCTCCTGATGCAAATCATGCAATAGAAATAAACAGTGAGGAAAACTACACGTGTTACAGTATATGCTACATAATGAGCAATAAACACAGGGCCGGGTTGTTCAAAATAAAACAATTAATTTAAATGTCCAGGGATATACCACTACAGTCAAATTTAAAACTTTTCACGTGCAAGCGATATTGCTGTGGAAATTTAGAAAGTGAATCTTGGGATGTCAGCCTTGGTGGAAGGCAGTTCCACAGCTTTCCGATTTTATGCAGAAAGAGAGAGGAAGAGATGCGGCCATGATAATTGAAAATCAGTTTGTTTGGTATGGGAGGTGAGTGCATGTCATGTACACGTGTAAACAGTAACTGCTACATGTACATGTACAGTCATTCCCATTTACGACACCCACTAGTAGTACATTGCACTACATCATGTACATGTACATGTACACTAGTCAGAACAACAGATGGCTTGATCAGTACATGTACATGACAAACGTCATGACGTCACTCGACTCGCCGCGCGCGTGTGAATAAGAACGGTCTGGCTAGAATCAAAAATTTAAGAACTTTCCTTGGCTGCGCTCGAGCCCCTGAGTTCTTCGGCGCCCGATCTTACTGTACTACTACTAGTACTACTACCCACCCCACCAGTACTACTAGTACATGATGCACACGTATTGTGGGTTGAAAGCAAATGAACCAGCTAATATTTCCAAATAAGGGGATGTTTTGATCTACATGTACTATCCCATCGCAATACAATTTTAAAGGTAAAGTCCACCATTTATATTTAACGGCGAATCACAGTCACCGCCACCATGATGCCAGTGACAATTCCATAAGGTGCTAATAGCCTGCAAGAGTGTGTCCAAATATTACTGACAAGTCTTTACCAATTTCTTCTCGCACAGTCTCATTCATTCCCATACAGTGAGTGGATGTTCACAGATTCCTACCTGGGTCATGGAAGGTCACCAACGCGTAGTTGACGATGGGGATCTCCTGCTGCTCCCGAGATGGCTCTGAAGATATTCCTGACGCCATTCCTGACCTGCAGCAAGTCATCGTACATACTGCCTGTCGTGTCGATGCAAAACGACAGGGTAGCTCCTTCCCAGGTCTGTTCGGTGGCCACTTGGATGTTCTGCGACACATTGCTAACGACGTTCAGGAATTGCCCGGACACAGCGTGAGTGAAGATCAGGATGACCAGGGGCCAACGCGCCGCGTGTGCAGGCGTCGTCCTCGCCATGTCCACAGCGTTGCTTGCCCACAGAGGGTAGAGAGCAGAGCTACGACCCTCGAATGCAGAGTCACACCCAGTAAACTTTTCAACAGCAAGACTGCAACACGAGCATAGCAAACCTTACCACATAGACTCGCAGGGCAGTACGAATTCTTGGAGAGAAGACCCAGCAGAACTTCTTGGTACGGTCTTCTACTCCGCCACAGCAAACAACGAGCTGCTTTCTGTTGAACCTGGAAAGTTTAGCAGTCCCTGTCGTTGGAATTCACGATTACATTATTCTCAGTCTCACGGTTGGTAAATAATCAGAGCGACTGAATGAAGATTGTAGGCTTGCCCAAAGGATTGAAGGTAGCAATGGCCAGCAACCTCTCGGTGTGGACCGCAACTGACAACATGCCATCGTTTGTGGTTCTGCACTTGTCTCGGGGCTCTCTCATCGCTGTTAGCGGAGCATGGGACTGCCCATCTCTCCCAGTCGGAACTGGACAGGCCACGGAGAGCACTTCAGTTTGAAGACAGGCGGCTCTCAGCACCGACGGTCCACTGCTCCAGTCCGGGGGTGCACGCGACTGAGTGCAGAGTGCGAAAGATCAGACTTCGGGATTGCTCAAGTATACGATGCTGTCATCCCCTATTCTCCTAGCTGACAGGATCTGTCTCTGTGTCCGTGGCTTGTTCAGGCAAATGGCGGCAATCAAAGTGGCAACATTTGCTTTCTGCGCCCTGGGAGATGTGCAAAAATCTGGCCAGCATTATTTCACTCGGGTAGTTATGACCATTGTCCTGTGGAGAAAGATGGAAATAGACTTTTCATGATGGCGTGATTACGAAAATGCACAACTTGGCGCAGCAAGAGAGCTACGCGTCTCCAGGGCAGTCAAGAAAAGGATATAACTGTGCCATTTGGGTTTTGCAACGACGTGACTCTCCGGAAGAAAATAATAGAAAAAGTAGCAGTACGTCCCTCCTTCACAGACAGGCAAATCGTGACGATACAACTTGCCTTTGGTCCCACGATCGGCTCTCAGGAATCCCAGTTCTGTACTCCATTCCCTTTTCCAGTCACGTGGTAAATTCCCAATGACAATGTACAGTGTATTGTGCTCTTAGACCTGAGTGACGGGGATGTCATGTAAACGATCAGGTAAATGTTATGCAAAGTATCAAGCATACGCACACGCACATGTAGGTTTTAAATGATTATAGTGCAGTCAGCTGATCGTTTCTGGCTGAACCTCAGAGCTACAGCAATACAATCATCTATATTTGCCCTTCTTCCTCTGCGCAGACTCTACGTCAAAGAT